AATCCACTAAACTTGGGCGTTACTCTCTTCAAGTGCCAACTCACACTACCAGGGTCAAGGACAGAAGAATCCTTTATTCCTTTCCCTATGTCCAGGGTCTGGAATGGAGTTTACACAGTCCAACTCTGTGTAAGAAGCCCTTTCCTCTAACATGTAACCCAGTGTCCTGATCCTCTGTGTTTTGCTTGTTTTTGTTGTTTCTTCCGGAACTCACTGATCTGCTTGGGAAAGGCCCACAATGGTAGGCTACATGTCAAACATTAATCTTTACTAGACTGGGGAGCTGCGCATTGGAGAGGAACTGCGTGGCACTGAGAGCCAATGCTGTGCTCCTGGTTTTATCTTTACTTGCTCTGGACGCAGCCATCAGTGCCTCCACATCACACAGAAAGACAGACTTACATCAAGGCTGTTAAGCTGGCAAGCTTTTCATATTACTGTATTTAATTGGTCTGTTGAGGGCAGGTCAGCAAGTCTGGCTTGAAGGTGCCAGGACCCTGACTAACCCTAACCCCAATAATAATAATGCTGTGGCTGTCCAAACCGGAAAACAATAAAAATCACAAAACACTCATTTGCAAATAACATATGGCTTTTTTTGTCCCCAGCAATAACTTTATTCACACAAACGTCCCTTAATTTACAAAGCTTCAGTCATTCATACACATTAGGGGGATCCACAGTGTTCAAAGAACTTAAATATAATGTATCATACCAACCCAAGTAAGCCAAGTACAAAAAATATTCATATAAAGTTGTTCACACATAGGTCCTATATTACCAGCTTCTGTGCAAAAAAAAGGAGGGGGGGGGAGGGAGGGATTACATTAACTAGTATAACTAGTATTTGAAGCTAAACTTGTGCCTGGCTTTAAACCTTCCTCAAAACCAAGTCTGACCCACATGAGCACTAAGAATAACTGAAATATCCTCTGGTTTCGATGGCAAGTAGCCTTTGGAACAATTTTTTTTTTTTTTTTTTTTTTTTAAATAAATGTCCCCTAAGTAGGTTTTCTTCTTCCTATGAGCTCATCTGGGTTTAAAAAAAAAAAAAAAAAAAGGAAGTTCACTCCTTGAGGTACTCTCCCTAATCCTATGGGCCCCTATGCCACCAATGGCAGACTTGTCCCTACAAAATGGCTGTGGATGCTGACATCAGCCAATGCTATATACGGTACCTACAGGGCTGGCTCCTCTCCCAGAGCATGTTTCCAGACAAGGCTCCTTTTCCTCAAAGTCAGACCTCTGTTGACCCGGAGGCCGTATGACAAGCTCAGAATCAGGGAAGGCAGAGGCATCAACCTCCAGAGTCTGATGGCCTGGAGAGCTGAATAACCAAGCTTAGCCAATTCCGAGGTAGAATCCCAGCAGCTGTCTGGAGCTGCCAAGTGGAAAGAGAACCCAGTCAAGGGTAAGAATAACCCAAAGACCCACTGAGAGTTGAGTCACTGGCACTCCCAGATGTGGAAAGAGGGGCAAACGAGCTAGAGACAGGGAGGGAAGACCTCATGGTGAGCAGGGCTAGAAGGGGCATCAGAGTAAGGCAGGGAGGGCAGTAACATTCCCTTCCTTGGAGGACAGCAGTCAGACTCTTGCTCCTCCCAATTCCCAAGATACTTACAGGTTAAAACCCACATATAAACCATCCTTTTAAGCTGTCTTCTAAAACAGTAAAACAGCTAATAGCATAAACAGATTCCCACAATGTTCTCCTCTTCTTGGAAAAAGATTCACAATGTAACCTTATTGCTGCAAACACTGGTTTTCTAAAACAGTGATATGTCACAGAGCTGAGAATCTTGGAGGGAGGGATGATGGAGGTGGGGGCTGGTGGGGCAAGAAGGCTATGAGGAAGCTGGGAAGTGGTCTTAGCACCACAGGGTTAGGAAGCAGAGTGAGTCAAGGGCCTCTGCTCACTCCAGGCCTCCACCACCACTGGAGTTACCACTGGCAGTGCCACAAAGGAGGCCGGGCCCCATCCAGAGTCAGATCTTCACCTAGTGCGGGCACACCTCTCCTCCACTGTAAACAGGGTATTTCTTAAGTAAACATTAAAACATCCCTCTGGCAGCCAAAGGGCAACCCCTACAAGGTGGGAATAGAGTTCCTATTTCCTGCCCCAATGCCCTAGAGCTAGGTGAGGCTAAAGCCTAAACCTTAGTCTCCTGTGACCAGAAGGGGGTTAGCTGGAGCCAGTCTGGATGGTGCAGTGGGTGTCTTCCTGGCTAGAGGTTAAGAATAGGGAGGGAAAAAGGCAGTGTGCATGTGGGCAGCAGCATTTGGTCCTGGTCTAGAGCTGCTGTGAGGGCCACAGAGGCAAGAGGGAGGTGTGTCTGGCTACAGCCCCCAGGAGGTGGGTGGGGCTCAGGGTTTTCCTTCCCCTGTGGCTATATACAGTAAGTGACAAAATGGACAAAGAAAAGACAGCCACCTGCTTCTGGCAGAGTCTGGACAGGGGAGGACAATGGAATAAGGCACTATGATCTGTCCCCTGCTGACTCCCTTCACACAGGGGAGCTGAGCTCTGAGCAGAGAACAACTCAGGCCAGGCCAGTCTAACAGGCAATCCTCAAAACCAAGAAAAAGGACAGCTGTTAGAAGTTCTGCAAACTTCTAGACTATGGACAGATCTAATAAACCTGGAGGCACCTGAGATGATGCCCCACAGAGCTACTGGCAGGCCTGCAACCCATACAGAGGCAGAAAGGGAAAATAACAGAGGTGGCAGATGCTGATCCTCAAGAGGGGCAGGGAGCTGGGCTTTGAGAAGACTACAGAGCCCGCCAGGGGCTGACTGACTAACTGGTCACAGCACAGCAAGCATGTCACCGGGCCAGTTTCCATCTGGCTGGCAGGTGATAGCATAGATCACACACAAGAGAAAAAACAGGTAAGAAAAAAATAGGAACAGGCACTTGGGGCTTAAGACCTGGCTCTCATCTGAGCCAGAGATAGAGGTGCAATCACCAGGCCAGAACCAGCTGGGAGTCATGGAAGATGAGGTGCAGGGAAGCAGGCTACCCTTAACCAGGCTACCACCTGCATCCTATGGGGGCTTATGCTGACACCAAGAAAAGTATGGTCGGAAAGCACTATAACCCAAGTCTTGATTGTAGAAAGCTAAGAGACTAGGAAGAGAAAGAAAAAGGTAGGTAGAATAGCGATTTGCTAGGCCCGAGTCTTTACCAGGAACCCAGGGCAGGACTAGGGCAGAAAGAGTGGGGTACTGAGTTCAGAGACTGCTTTTCCCATTTGTTCAGGCACAAAGAGACAGCAGCACCCAAGAAAAGGGAAGGAAGAGACAGAAGTGGAATGTACTTTGCAATTAGGGGACGCTGCTGTTTCCACCCTCCCAGGTGCCACTCTGATTAGGCTCAGGAGGCTGCTTCAAAAATCACTCAAGGAGACAAGATGCTATCACAGACCAGCACAAGGGCCTACATTACCACCCGCAGCCAAGCACCCACAGGAACAGCAGCTGACCTCTGGCCAAGAGGAGAAAGAAACTTTGGTGCTAAGTTGCCCGAGAGAAAGCTGGAAAATCCAAGTGGCCATAGTTAAGCATGTTGTGCTGGCCTTCCCCATACTATAAGACCAAGGGACAGTTGCTTGAAGGAAAAGCCCCCCCCCCCCCCCCCCCCGTTGACCTCTCATTTCCCTATCCAACCTACACGAGTTTAGGAAGAAGAGAGAAGAATAAAGATACCTTCTTTCCTTGTCCAGAAACCCCATCCCATGTGGCCAAAACAAGGTGAAAAATATGGAAAAGTTTTGGAGCAACCAAAGGTGCATCCAAGTAGAGGGCACCAGAGAGGATGGATGGTGGGGTCCATGGAGCAGCTGGAAGGAAGTTATCTTCCAACAGGAAGCTGTAAGAACACTGCTAGGGAGTTAAGAGTGAAAGGCTATTCAGAGGCAGTGTAGCCACAGGGATCTAGGTTGGGGATGCTTTAAGACAGCTAGCTGCTATATGGGCCCTTTAATAGCCACATGGGCATCCCTGTCTGCCTCATACCTCCCTATGCAAGGCAGATCCTTCCTCTTCTCGTCAGACAACAGTTACAAAGAGGTTGATCACCTAACGTGAAGTCCCTGGGGGTAAGAGAGATGGCGCTTGACAGTGTCACCCAGTGGTGAATGACACCATGGATCCTGGTACACAGGGCACACCTTTCACTGTGAGGAAATCATGGCAGAAGCCAGTAGAGGGTACTCTGCAACAGTTAAAACTGGATCTTGGGGCCTAGGTAGTCTCTGTGATAGGCTGGACTTGTAGCACACTGGGAAGACAATCCAGGAGGGCAGAGGGTAAAAAGTATTGGCCTCAAAGCAGTGACAAGAGGCCAAGGAAGACAAAGTCTGACAGAGGGTTGGCACAACAGTCCTAAATAGAAGAGAGATTTGTGCAAGTTGGGTGGGGTGGTCTCTTTTAAGAGTGATGAGATGACCACTCTTGGTCTCCTTGCTCGGGGACCCCGGTTGGAAATGGCAGAAGGAAGTAATTCCAACTACAGTGAGTTCTGGTGTGGCTGGGGCTCCCAAGAGCTTAAAGAGAACCAGACCATGGTTTAGGTCTTCTCTAAGAGTCCTTCTGGCCAGACCCTGGTCTCCCTCTGCTGAAAGGTTCTTCGCCTCTGATCCTGTCTGAGGCCTGAGGGCTGGCCAGGACCAGCCCATCCAAGGAGTCCCAGAGCTCTCATGTCTGGTAAGGAAGTAACTCAGAGGCTGCTTCCTTATTATCTTCATATCCCTTTGCAGGAGAAACACCAAAACTCTGGGTAGATAGAACTTCTTTGGGAAGTGGGATGCTAAAGCAGAACTGAGAGATGTGTAAGAATGAAAACAGAACATGAAAGATAAAACCAAAATTGCTTCCTAACTTAAGAAATTAACGGATTAACGGTGAATATATGCATAAGCTTTGCCCACATTCAATGTTCTTAAAAACAAAACAAAAGAAAAACCCAAACAATAAAAAGGTGCCTGTCCAGAGTGTAGCCTTCTGCTCTTCAGAAGTCTTGATGGTTTAATGTTTAAAAAACAATAATAATTATTATTATAAAGGAAAAAGAAAAGGGTAGCATGGGAAACCCAAGCAAAAGCTTCACATTGTGGGAGGTCCAGCTGTCAGGAGATCGCCACCACCTGTACCCTCTGCCATCCTGTCCGAGACATGATGAGACTGTGGGTCCCGAAGGATCGACCTGGAAGACAGAAGGTAGGCAAGGAGTGGACATTGGATCAGTGGGTGAGAGTACAGAGCAAGCACCCAATCCAAACTGACCCTGAAGCTGTGTGTGCTGGCTTTTCTAAATACTTTATGTGGGTAAGCTGAGCCACTAATTCCCTTGCCATCTGTAAAGACATGCTCTTATTTCTCAGGTAAGGGAACTGATGTGTTCAAGGTCATAATGACTAAAGGCAGCCTCAGGAAGAGAGGATTTACGCATGCTGGCTTCAGCTACCAATCTGATCACAAATCCTATATCTTATTCCCACTCCAGGTTCCCTGTACTCTACAGGATCCATTCCAGATAGAATGCCCCCAACAGACCCTGATGGCCTTGGTTCTATTTAGCCTTTCTTCTCCACTCTCATCCATAACTGTCATAAGCCTCACTGCAACCCTTGCAAGATTTCGATATCCTTTACAAATGATAAAATGGTGTTCAGCATCTGAGAACCTATACTAAGTTAGCCAACACGTTTTTAAAAGACCACATTACCTTCTCCTCCTGGGTCAGGAGGACTCAGAGCAAAGTTTCCCAGAAGCAAATGATAGGTCCAACTCTGTCCACACCATCTCCTACTTGGGCTATAACCGAGTGTTCTGGATAGAATGTATGCAAATTCGAGCCCTTTGTTCTTTGGTCTCCTAATCTACACCTATGTCACAAGCTGTTTTGAAGATTACACAAATTCAGTTGTGCATGGCTTAATGATATAAGAAACATAGAGCCACTTGAACATGACTGTATTTATGGGACCACCATTGCATATGTCTGCAGCATCATTTTGTGTGATTATACATAGAATACTTAGAAGAATGCCTGGTCCTCTGAGCACTGGCTACTATTTGGGAACTCCTTTGTTGCCAGGCCTCAGGAATAAGTAAGACAGGAAACTGCCCTTCAAGGAAACCTAGTACACAAAAGCCTATAGGGATTAGTCTTGGGTCAGTTCTATATTCTGAGCCACTTAATCACATAGCTAAGTATAGCTTTGTCTTAGGCAGGGCAGGTCATCTGGACAGCAATGCTGTGAAGTTTTCAAAGTGACTAGTTTCACCCAAGATGACTGACCCAAACAAGCCCTTCCCTGCATGTTTGCAACCCTTCAGTGGCTTCCTTGCTCCATGGACACACCGAGCCCATTGTCTGAAGCTTCAGAAGTATGCCCTGGTTCCAACCCAGTGTGCACCTTCTCCCCTGGAGATGTGGTCAGTCCAGCCAGAAAACAATGGCCCCATAGACTCAGGTCTTACAGGTGTCTAGCTCATTCACAAAAGTCACAAAAGTGACTGCCTCTGTCTCTTTCTCTAGTCTTCCATCTCTTTTGGGCTCTGAGTAGAATGAGTATAAAGTATAGGACCTACAGTAGGTTCTGACATATCCAATGAGCCTGTATCTCCAGCTAGACTCTGAATGTACCTTCAGTCAATCGGCCATCACAAGCAGTTGTAGGAGTCATGGGAAAGGCATCCCCCGCACTAATGGAGGAGGGCAAACAGCCTCTGGGAAGCAGCTGGGAAAGACTTGCAGAGCTTCAGTTATGCTGAGAGCTAGAGCCTGGTAGCTCCACTTCTAGAAACCTAGCTTCACTGATAACTCTAAACACAGACATGAATACATGACTAAAGACGTTCAATTATGATGCATTGCTTCCAGTGTTCAAAACTAAGAGACTCGCTGTTATAGTGACAAAGGAGAGATGGGTGGCAATTGTGCATCAATAAGAAGCCTGCTAATGAGTGAAGTAGAATACATAAGTTACAAAGCTGTGTGGTGGAAAGCAGGCCTAGAATTTGTCTCTACAGCTCGGGATGGAGGAAAGTCCTTGCAAGGTAATGGGTGAAAATCTGTGGTGTTTGGATGGATGATGCCTTTAGGATGTAATTAGAATTACATAGTCATTTAGGTGGGATGCCATGATTAAACTCTGACAGGAGATGCTAGGTGGTGCAGAGATGACTCTGTGGTTAAGAACATTGGTTGCTCTTTCAGAGGACCTAGGTTTGAGTCCCAGTATCCACAACCAACTGTAACTCTGGTTCCATAGGATCTAATTCCCTCTTCTAACAGCCTTCTTCTATGAAAGTAGGCCCACACATGATGCCCATACATACATGCAGACAAAGCAGTCATATATAAAACGAGTAAATCTTACATACTCAGAGACACACATAGACACACACACACACACACACACACACACACACACAATCATGAACAATGCTTCTTGATACATGATGCCCTGTGTTGCCTCAAAAGACAGCCAGCAAGAAGAGCCATCATCAGATGTGATTCTGTCTTGAGAGGACCAAAGCCAAGAATCATCCTTTTCCCTTATTTTTAATAAACTAGCATTATAACAAAACTAAACTTGCACATAAAAATCAGCATGCACCGAAATTAACCAGACCGAATATCACATAAAAGCATGCACTCTGGAAAGAGGTTAGATGGAGTAAAGGAAGGACCTCCCAAGGAAGGGGAAGGAGGAAGGAAGAAGGAAGGGAATATGGGGAAGGACAACTAAGAGTAAGGACCACTGGAGGCAGTTGTATGGAAACTTACTACTGTAGAAGCTTCTTATTATATATACACATTATGAAAGAAATCTAAGTGGAGTCACCAAATAATGGAGAAGAAATGCCCTCACTAGACATTTTTCTCCACCAAGCAAAACTTCCAGTGCCAGGAGTGGGTTACATCTAATTGAGTTGTTGGGAAAGGAGCACCATGGAAAGACCCCAACAACAAGATATTGTGAAGGATAGTGATTGCTTCCTACAAACTGATGGTATTGCTGAAAACAAACCTCACATATCTCCTTGAACACAGAGATGTAGTGAGATATTTACTTTGTCTCCTTCTGTGGCACTGACCACCACCATTGGGGGTAGAGCCACGGGCTGAAGTGACCTGTGGAAGGAGGTCTGAGGAAGAGCCAGGGAATGCTCTCTTGCTGGCAGGACTCGGACAGGAGAGCATCCGGTGGAACTTGCTGGTGTTCATCTGTCTAGGTTGTAAGTTATTTCTCCCTGAATAAACATCTATCCAGCCTATTGTTTATCCTGATCCTTATTTAACCACAATACAGAGATGTCACCCTGGTGCCTAACTACAGCCTTCACCCCTACTGATAAGTGTTCATGATACTGGCAGGTACTCTGCACGCTACCAGGAGAAAGAGAACCACAAACCCAGCTATAAATCCCATCATCTAATATGGTGACTTGCCTGCACGATACACTGGTACAATCAGAACAAACACTGTGGGGGAATAACCAACCTCTATCTGAACAGATTTAAGACCAACTCCATGAGATGGAACCCATGCCAGAAACTGTGTGGGTGGCCAAGAACCTGAAACTAGATAGACATGCCATGGGCCTGAAGGAAAACCAAATACCAAATCGTTCTGCTAAAGAAACACAGCAATAAAATTACTCCTAACATGATCTGCTATGCCTATACATTGGTGTCTTCCTCCACCAGAGAAACTTTCTCCTGCAGTAGATGGAAACCAACAAAGAACTACAACTGGACCATGCACAGAGAATGACCTCATTCTGTGGAAGAGGTGGGTTTTAAGAGCCAGAGAATATGGATGACACCAAGAAAACAAGACCTTCTGGACACAACAGGACTGACGTACATATAAACACACAGAGACTGTGTTAGCATGTACAGGTCCAAGGTAAATAGGGGCCCAACAGTGAAAAGGGGGACCAGAGTAAGTTTCCATCCCTTACCAAGAAGCTATCTTCAATTGACAATGGTTTGCGAAAAACCAACCAAACAAAAACCCCTAGTTTTCTCCAATGGAGTTTTGAGTGTATAAACTACATCTAAAGGCAGCTCTATTCTCTACCCCCACTAAGAACAGCAGCAGCAGATGGCCAACACAAAACAAACTCAATGGTATTTTGGGGAAGGTTTGATTCCCCCCCCCCCCCATTGCTTTGTTTGGGCCTTTTTTTTTTTTTTTTTTTAAACCTTACTGGTCTTTTGCTTGCACTTTATATTTTCCAATTTTGTGGTTTTGTGTTTTGTTTGACTATCTTTCTTTTTGTGTTTCTCCTGGTTTTTTGTTGTTTTAATTAAATTCTGGCTTCTTTTTTTGTCTGTTTCCTAAAGAGAGGAAGAGAGAAGGAAGGGAGTTTGGTGGGTGAGGAAGTAAGGATGATCTGGGAGAAGTTGAGAAAGGGGAAACCATGATCAGAATACATATGAAAAAAAGGTTGCAATCAAAACCAAACAAAACCAGCATACACCAAAATTAACCAGACCCAAAATCTATACATAAAGAGCATGCGTCTGGAAGACAACTCAGATCTACTGAGTGTTGAGGCCTACTTTCTCACTGGATGTTTCTGCTCCCCTACTAGCAAAAGGAATTAAATGATTCCCCCAAGGATACACTTGGGGACCTCTTCCCAGTGTTCAACTTGGGGGAAAATTTTATCTACTCCCTAATGACTTGGCAGCCATGCCAGCCTCATGTAGCTTTCCCCTGTTGCTTTCTGCCTGTGTTTCCGGTAGGTGAAGAGGTGAAACTGAAGACAGTTACAGCTTCCTCAGGGAAGCCACACCACAATGTGCTCACTGGAAGATGGAGGCACTTTTTACTATCTCATCAAGAACAGTAAAGACCATCTGGAACGAGTCAAAGCAGCCAGCCCGTTTACTAATGCTTGTGATGAGCAGCGCAGCTCCCAGCCTTGGTGGGTTCTTGCTCATCACCTTTCATCCTAGCAGATGCCAAACCTTGGCTTCCTTGTTGACCAGGCCATAACACGATGTCTGGTTCCTAGCATCAGCCAGAGTCTTTTTGTGGCTCTCAGTGGGCCCCTAAGCACAGAGTCTTCCTGAAAGTCAACACATGAAGGAAGTTGATCCACACCTGTGAAGGGTGGGCTGCTTCTCCACATCTGACAGCTGTCAAGGGACGGCTAGAGCCGTACCCAATCCTGACGCCT